GATGCCCCATGGGAATTTAAAGGTGCAATAGGTGATTGTCTTCAGAAATTTTTTTTGTTATGCTGGTTGAAAGTCACATCCAGATATCAATCATTAAGTTAAGTGGTCTAAATGTATTTATCTGTATTTATATATTCTGTGGAAGGCGTAGGACAAAGAAATGTTCGTCCAATCAAAAGGCTCGGACCGAGAGTTTTAATTGGCTTTCCTACTTGCCTGTCAACGTATGTATTAGCATACCTCTGTGCACCCGGTTCGCGCAGACAGGATACGTCATCAGCGCGTTCATGCACGCTGTGCAGACATAGCAAGAATGGCAGACAAACATCAACAACCCTTCCTGGTATTGTTGTACTTTTAAAGGTTTCTCACCGGTGAATGACACATGATGTAGCCCAGCGGTTCCCAATTCCAGTCCTCGCGCACCCCGCTCTGCATATTTTACATGTCTTGCTTAGTTAACATACTAGATTCAGATAAACAGCTCGTTAGAGTGAGCGACGTGCATGAACTGTGTTCCGATCGATATGATCCCTACACAGTGTTCATTGCTCCCTACTCCCTGAGCAGGGGAAATCCGTTTAAGTTTACTTCACTTAAAGTGAAGGGGCGAGGACTGGAATTGGGAACCGCTGATGTAGCCTATTGTAGTAATGTTGTCTCTGGTATTCTGGTCTGTGAGCTCATATACGTTCAGGGGGCGTGGCTTTGGACTGCGATTGCAGGGAGGGTGGGACGCTCGCTTTTAGTGCTATCAGGCTAAAGTTAGCATTTTCCAAGATCTCCTGCTGCACCTTTAATAGTGTGGCTGTCCTACCTGTTACCTACAGTTCTGTCAGGAATATGGACTGTGTGTGTTTTGCCCCCCATGTGCTCCCATTGACCTAGTTTTCCCTCATCTGTGACCTGCCCATATTTAGTTATCTTCCTGTTCCTGTTCCGATTGTGTTTGATTGATCTCACTCAAAGTGTGTCTCATTAATTCCCTCGTTTAGTTCAGTATTTAAAGTGTGTTCTGCCTCTTGTTTCCTGTCCGGTGTTATACGTCAATTGGTGCTATGTGTGTCTCCTGCGTGCCCTGTTTTCCCTGAGATTTGGATTATTAAAGGTTCTCGTGTGGTGTAACTCCTACGTCTCCTCACTCCTCACAGTAGCAGTCGTGACAGAACACTGGACCTACAAATAAGTTTAGGGGTGTGTTTCCCCTCCGTTTCATTTCCCGTGTTTCCCCCATGGATCCCCTCACCTTAATGTTTACCTCCCTTGCCCGTAAGGACCTTCCCCACCTAGAGTATGCGGTTGAGTTCAGCCAGCTTGCCGTTCTAATGGCATTCGAGGACGCTGCGCTGAACTCAATGTTCTGCATCGGGGCTAACTACCACCACCCCGTTGACCTCCCAGACACCACCGGACTGTGCTGGAGGGAGGCAATCATCCGGTGTCTGGAGAGCATCTACCCCCAATCCAGAACACAGCCAGACCCAGAGCCCAGCCCACCACTGACGGAGAGCCAGAGCCTGTCGCGACCGACGAGCCATCGCCTAGGAGTGCGACAGAGCTGAGGATCGCCACGGAGCAAGAGCCTCATGAATCATCAGACCAGGTGCGAGAGCTGGCTACAACGCCCACCACGAGGGAGAAAGCCGTGGACAGAGAGCGCGGAGAGGCGCTCCGCCCCCTGCACCGTGGCTGAGGGTGAATGGAGAATGGATCTGGGTGAATGAAAAGCGGAAGGAGACCTTATTGACTTGTATACTGACCTGCCCCCTCTCCTCCCTCCTCCATCGGTGACCTCTGTCCCTCCCATTCCTGAGTTTAGCCCTGTTCCCCCATCCAGCCCAGAGAGGGCTCCCCTTTCCACGTCCAGCCCAGAGACGGCTCCAGTTCCTAAGATGAGCCCAGAGAGGGCTCCCATTCCTGAGTTTAGCCCAGTGAGGGCTCCTGTCCCCCCATTCAGCCCAGAGAGGGCTCCTGTCCTGCTCCGAGAAAGACTGTGTCCCTGAGTGCAGCCCTGTCAATCTTCTGTCAGTCGCACTCCCCTTGCTGGGAGTCGCAATTTGGTGTTTGTGGGCAGCGCACACCAGCCCTGAAAGCCCGGAGGCTCACGAAAGCCTGCCCACCCTCCCGCTCCTGTCTCCTCCACCGCTGTCGTCTGGCAGCTCCTCTGCACGCCCTCAGCCCACCATCTGTACGGTGCAAGCTCCACGGGTCTGCCATCCTCCATCATTACCGTGGCTGGAGTATCCCTTTCCTCCACCTCCAACCTCTAAGCCCCGGGCTCCGCCTTGACCCGTCGACCCAGCAGTTCCACCATGGCTCCTAGCTCCGCCGTGGCCCATCAGTCCACTGGCTCAACCGGGCTCCCTCATCCCTCCGGCTCTGCCTTGGTCTGTCGTCTACCATCCTACGCCTCGGGGTTCCACTCCTCCAGCTGTGCCTCGTCCCTCTGGTTCCGTCAGGCTCCTCCTTCCCTTTGGCTCCACCTTGGTCCCCTGTCGCTCTGGTTCCACCGCGGCCTTCTGGATCTCCGCCTCCATATCGATCGCCTGAGCCATCTGCTCCGCCTTGGCCCTCCGGATCCTCTGTGTCGCCCTGGCTCATCGGCTCTCCGTCTCCACCTCGGGCTTCTCCGACACTTGCTCCGCCGCCGTTGGTCGGCCCCCTGGAGTTGTCAGCCCTTCCTCCACCATGGCTCCTCCCTCCGTCGGCTCCACCGTGGGTCCCCATTACGGCTGTGGCCTGGGTCCAACCTGGCGCCGCATGCTCCAAGTCCCTCCTGTCGTCTCCCTGGATCCTCTCTCCGTCTGATCTGACCTGGCTCCCGGGCTTCTCCGACCCTTGCTCCGCCGCCGTTGGTCGGCCCCCTGGAGTTGTCAGCCCTTCCTCCACCATGGCTCCTCCCTCCGTCGGCTCCACCGTGGGTCCCCATTACGGCTGTGGCCTGGGTCCAACCTGGCGCCGCATGCTCCAAGTCCCTCCTGTCGTCTCCCTGGATCCTCTCTCCGTCTGATCTGACCTGGCTCCTCCCGTTTCCTCCTTGGCTCCTCCCTCCGTCGTCACCTCCCTGGACTCTGTCTGCCAGCCCCCTCCCGGGTGTCCGTCCTCCTCCTGAGCCTTCTCCCAAGTTCCCACCTGTCCCTCCTTCTGTTGTTTCTTCGGCACGAGGACGCGCCTTCTGGGAGGGGGGCGATATGTCAGGAATATGGTCCGTCTGTGTGTGTTTTGCTCCCATTGACCTAGTTTTCCCTCATGTGTGACATGCCCATATTTAGTTATCTTCCTGTTCCGATTGTGTTTGATTGATTTCAGGTGTGTCTCATTAATTCCCTCGTTTAGTTCAGTATTTAAAATGTGTTCTGACCCTTGTTTCGTGTCCGGTGTTATACATCAGTTGGTGCTATGTGTGTCTCCTGCGTGCCCTGTATTCCCTGTGATTTGAATTATTAAAGACTCTTGTGTGGTGTAACTTCTACATCTCCTTGCTCCTCACCATAGCAGTCATGACAAGTCCATTATATGAAATTATTATTATTATTATTTAATTACTCTGCTTTTTCTGTTCAAAACCACATTGTTTGGACTGAGGAGACCAACTCCTGTAGTTGGACAGAGTAAAAAAAAATAAATTTAATAAATAAATGAAATAAGTTTTGTTCTTGTACTATTTTGAGGTATGTAGAATTTGAATAATTTTCAAATCATTGCAGTCGTTTTTTATTTACACTTTACACAATATCCAAACTTTTTTTTTTGTAAATACGAGTTTATCATTAGTATGAAATATACTGACAATTTACTTATCTTTGAAACGGTGTTTAAACAATAGATCAATAGCTGTTCGTGTACACCTGACCCAGGACATTTATTGGATGTTATTCCTCGTTAGTAGAAGCATAACACGGCCCAAAACATGGAGAAAACATCGGTAAATAAAGTATAAAGTCTGTGACACACTAGTTAGTGAAATTGTCCACCGATTAATCTATTTTGAGTTTTGAAATTTGAACAACTGTTGTATTACAGATTCCACGTGTTAATTATTCAGATTCTTCTCATTGTGTAGCACTGTTTTAAGCTTGGTGAATATTACAGTGAAGTAGTGACTGCTGTGTTAGCACTAACATTAGATTACAAAGTGGTACAGTAGCTGTTTATACGTACTTTCACATTTTTGTTGTCTAAGAGTTTTTAACATTTCACAGAAAGAAAAATATCAGTGGCATGAGAGAATACGATATTTAATCATGTAGAAGAGAAAATGCTTGAAATTCTAGATATGTATACTATTTGTGTGTGTGTGTGTGTGTAAATAAGCAAAAAAAAGTAAATAAATAAATAACAAGAGATTGATTAGTCAAAAGAGTGAAAGATGTCAAATTTGGTGGTCTCCCTCAGCCTTTGTATAGAAACACTTACACAGCAGCCTTGACTAGTTTTATGTAATTTAATGGCAAGGTAAGAATACAAAAAGTATAGTATCATCACAGTATGGTGAGGGCCGTAACATTTCCGTCACATGCTTGAGGTATTCAGCCAACCACAACGCACTGGATAGCTGGCCAATCAGAGCACACCTCGCTTTTCAGACCGATGAGCTTTGTAAAAATCGACGCGTTTCAGAAAGGCGGGACATAGAGGAGAAACAATAATGTACAGTATGTGGAAAATAATGTGTTTTTTGCAGTAAACCGCATAAACACATTTCATTACACCAAATACACCAAATAATGTTCTTTTTAGCAACATCATCATATGACCCCTTTAAGGCCATTAACTCTCTCTGACTGACTCCCTCACTAGTGCACTGACTACTGAACTAGGGAGCTGATTGAGACGCACCCAGAGATTTAGTTTGCATTTATTTTTTAATTATTAATTTAATAATTTACTTTCTGTTAATTATTCTCATCTTAAACAGGACAAAGTGTCGAAACACACAGAAAAACTCCTGAAGCGGCTAGTGAAGACCTGAAGATTGAAGAAGCATTCAGAGTCAAACATGAAGATACTGAGGAACAAACAGGTTGGTTTTTACTCATTTGATCCTTATATAAATGTCCAGCTCTACAGAAATGAATATTGATAAAGAATGTCACATGAGTGTAGAAATTAGAGTGGTTTGTTGACCGACATGTTGAGATCACATGACCAGGGGCCCATTCTTCGTACGTCGCTAACTCAGTTAGCTGGATGTGATTGTTGATGATTTGGCCTGATCTTGGATTGGTTGGTTCTTCGAAGCTCATCCTGGAGTTACTGTCGTAGCAACAGATCCGTGAGCTTAAACCTGCTCGGGAGCAGCTTATTTCATGGAAACAGGATTAGATCGCATCTTTTTAAGCAGAATTGATACTTTAAATCTGTCAGCTACCACCGCTACTTTATTACAAGAGTACCCTACTGATGCACGGACAGTAATTTACAATAATAATCTTATTTTAAAAATTATTTAAAGATAATATAACAATGTTGTGTATCAGTTAGCTGGATGTGATTGTTGATGATTTGGCCTGATCTTGGATTGGTTGGTTCTTCGAAGCTCATCCTGGAGTTACTGTCGTAGCAACAGATCCGTGAGCTTAAACCTGCTCGGGAGCAGCTTATTTCATGGAAACAGGATTAGATCGCATCTTTTTAAGCAGAATTGATACTTTAAATCTGTCAGCTACCACCGCTACTTTATTACAAGAGTACCCTACTGATGCACGGACAGTAATTTACAATAATAATCTTATTTTAAAAATTATTTAAAGATAATATAACAATGTTGTGTAGTCTTTAATACTATAGACACAGCCAGCTTTACTCACTAAAGGTTTATTCATCATAAAATTATTACTTCATAATTGTATTAGAGTCTTACACACATGCTACACAGATAATGTAGAGTCGAGCATTAATTTGAGTGATCACAGATATTGTGGGAGTGGCTTGATGGAGCGCAGAAGATGCAGATAACATGATCTTGACCCTTAAGAAACTTTAATTAACGCTGTCACGTAACAAATCTGTTCAAATATAAAATTAAATTAATTGCTAATTATTACATTGGAATAAAAATGTAAAGCCTGTACAAATATTAGAAATCGTGAATATAAATAATTGGGAATCATGTAAAAAACTAAAATAAAATAAAAACAGTGCACATTTAATTGATCTATTATAAAACAAACATGAAGATACTGAGGAACAAACAGGTTGGTTTTTACTCATTTGATCCTTATATAAATGTCCAGCTCTACAGAAATGAATATTGATAAAGAATGTCACATGAGTGTAGAAATTAGAGTGGTTTGTTGACCGACATGTTGAGATCACATGACCAGGGGCCCATTCTTCGTACGTCGCTAACTCAGTTAGCTGGATGTGATTGTTGATGATTTGGCCTGATCTTGGATTGGTTGGTTCTTCGAAGCTCATCCTGGAGTTACTGTCGTAGCAACAGATCCGTGAGCTTAAACCTGCTCGGGAGCAGCTTATTTCATGGAAACAGGATTAGATCGCATCTTTTTAAGCAGAATTGATACTTTAAATCTGTCAGCTACCACCGCTACTTTATTACAAGAGTACCCTACTGATGCACGGACAGTAATTTACAATAATAATCTTATTTTTAAAATTATTTAAAGATAATATAACAATGTTGTGTAGTCTTTAATACTATAGACACAGCCAGCTTTACTCACTAAAGGTTTATTCATCATAAAATTATTACTTCATAATTGTATTAGAGTCTTACACACATGCTACACAGATAATGTAGAGTCGAGCATTAATTTGAGTGATCACAGATATTGTGGGAGTGGCTTGATGGAGCGCAGGAGATGCAGATAACATGATCTTGACCCTTAAGAAACTTTAATTAACGCTGTCACGTAACAAATCTGTTCAAATATAAAATTAAATTAATTGCTAATTATTACATTGGAATAAAAATGTAAAGCCTGTACAAATATTAGAAATCGTGAATATAAATAATTGGGAATCATGTAAAAAACTAAAATAAAATAAAAACAGTGCACATTTAATTGATCTATTATAAAATTTTTATTAATTTAATGTATTAATGTATTTAACTTTTTATTTCATTTATCTATTATAACATGTATGTAGTTTTGCTCGCTTGGCTGTTTCTTTATAAAAGTCCAGAAATTGGTCGAGTTTTTCGTCAGGTGTCTTTTATTGTATGATGTCATTACGTTGCTGTCTTGCCAATCGCTGCACTGCTGATCGTGGTTTCGAGTATCGGTACATAGCCCCTTTTAAACCAATCCATGAACGTGCAATTATCTCAGATAACTCAATCCAGCCAGACTAATCATCAACAACAGGTGCGTCCAAAGAACCGAATTAGCCAGATCCTGATTAGCGCGATGATATCATCTCAGATGTGATATTTCATCTCGGATGTAATAAGCGACGTACGAAGAACGAGCCCCTGTATGAACAAGAAGATCCTGCTTTCACATTGGACATTTGTTATTATGACATCATGCATTTGAGTTGTACCAATAATACAGAATTAGCCTAAACAAAAAATATATATACAGTGGGGAAAAAAAGTATTTAGTCAGCCACCAATTGTGCAAGTTCTCCCACTTAAAAAGATGAGAGAGGCCTGTAATTTTCATCATAGGTATACCTCAACTATGAGAGACAAAATGAGAAAAAAAATCCAGAAAATCACATTGTAGGATTTTTAAAGAATTTATTTGCAAATTATGGTGGAAAATAAGTATTTGGTCAATAACAAAATTTCATCTCAATACTTTGTTATATACCCTTCGTTGGCAATGACAGAGGTCAAACGTTTTCTGTAAGTCTTCACAAGGTTTTCACACACTGTTGCTGGTATTTTGGCCCATTCCTCCATGCAGATCTCCTCTAGAGCAGTAATGTTTTGGGGCTGTCGCTGGGCAACACAGATTTTCAACTCCCTCCAAAGATTTTCTAGGGGGTTGAGATCTGGAGACTGGCTAGGCCACTCAAGGACCTTGAAATGCTTCTTACGAAGCCACTCCTTCGTTGCCCAGGCGGTGTGTTTGGGATCATTGTCATGCTGAAAGACCCAGCCACGTTTCAACTTCAATGCCCTTGCTGATGGAAGGAGGTTTTCACTCAAATCTCACGATACATGGCCCCATTCATTCTTTCGTTTACACGGATCAGTCGTTCTGGTCCCTTTGCAGAAAAACAGCCCCAAAGCATGATGTTTCCACCCCCATGCTTCACAGTAGGTATGGTGTTCTTTGGATGCAACTCAGCATTCTTTCTCCTCAAGTTGAGTTTTTACCAAAAAGTTCTATTTTGGTTTCATCTGACCATATGACATTCTCCCAGTCCTCTTCTGGATCATCCAAATGCTCTCTAGCAAACTTCAGATGGGCCTGGACATGTACTGGCTTAAGCAGGGGGACACGTCTGTCACTGCAGGATTTGAGTCCCTGGCGGTGCAGTGTGTTACTGATGGTAGCCTTTGTTACTTTGGTCCCAGCTCTCTGCAGGTCATTCACTAGGTCCCCCCGTGTGGTTCTGGGATTTTTGCTCACAGTTCTTGTGATCATTTTGACCCCACGGGGTGAGATCTTGCGTGGAGCCCCAGATCGAGGGAGATTATCAGTGGTGTTGTATGTCTTCCATTTTCTAATAATTGCTCCCACCGTTGATTTCTTCACACCAAGCTGCTTACGTATTGCAGATTCAGTCTTCCCAGCCTGGTGCGGGTCTACAATTTTGTTTCTGGTGTCCTTTGCCAGCTCTTTGGTCTTGGCCATGGTGGAGTTTGGAGTGTGACTGTTTGAGGTTGTGGACAGGTGTCTTTTATACTGATAACGAGTTCAAACAGATGCCATTAATACAGGTAACGAGTGGAGGACAGAGGAGCCTCTTAAAGAAGAAGTTACAGGTCTGTGAGAGCCAGAAATCTTGCTTGTTTGTAGGTGACCAAATACTTATTTTGCCGAGGAATTTACCAATTAATTCTTTAAAAATCCTACAATGTGATTTTCTGGATTTTTTTTCTCATTTTGTCTCTCATAGTTGAGGTATACCTATGATGAAAATTACAGGCCTCTCTCATCTTTTTAAGTGGGAGAACTTGCACAATTGGTGGCTGACTAAATACTTTTTTTGCCCCGCTGTATATATTTTTCTGTAACATTAATCCTAATATCTGCTTCTAAAATATAAACCATTAATTTCTAGCACTTAATTATGCAAACCTAGAAATCTACAACCAAATTAAACCCTGCGGCTCGTGACGATACATTGATGTGTAAAGACACGAGACGATCGGTCTGTGCAAGAAACTGAATTGTATTTATATTGTTTTTTTACCTCTGATCCACCGCAATGTCCAACTGTCCTGCGCGTGTCCTCGACAGCCGGCGCGTGATGCGTCTTCTTCTTGCTTTACGGCGGCTCGCAGACTTATAAGTGCATTACCGCCACCTATCTCTCAAATGGACCATTGCCACCATCTACAATCTCATTTAGGAGTGTCAATGGTCCATTTGAGAGATAGGTGGCGGTAATGCACAGGAGGAGCTGGGGATGGAGGTGGGTGATTATTCAGCAGCTATCGCTTCGCTCAGGAACTAATGACTGAAGGGACCTTATGAAGGGAATTATGATTGGTGTCATGATCCTATAGGTAAACATGGGTCAGCTGAGTGTCAGCTGATGCGAGCTTGACTAACATGGCCTGCCAGAACTATCGCTACGCTCCATTTCTGTCAGGACCACTATTGTCAATATAACTTACGATTAGCATACATTTTAGGTTGGGGGAATGGTTCTGTTCTGGGCAAACACTCCCTGCCCATCTACGCAGCCTAGCATGGATAGGAGCAGGGAGAGCAGAATACCCCCCAACCAAAATTCTGATAGCAATAACTGAATGCCTTACGAAAGGAGAGTGACGGCGAAGGGGTGCTTTTCTGCTATGAGCAGGTAGGAAGAGCAGCTTGCCCCTTCAGGAAGACAGTGGCAGTGACAGTTTTTTTTTTTGCATAGTTTGTCCAAGGCTTGTAAATTGAAGTACGTTTTATTTTTATTGTTTAAAAATAGAAATAGAATTCATTTAGATACTATTTGCTTAAAGTTGTCTTGGTTTTGATGCAAAATAAACACAAGCTTAAGATTATTTTAATCAGGGTGTACATAAATTACTATTTCATCAACTCATTTATCATGCGGGAAATCTTGTACCTGCAAATTGCTTCTTCTCACCGGTGATTCCTGATGGTTTTAGAGGACAATTACTCCTCATCACCCCGTTATTTCAAAGAATAGTACAACGACAAATGCAACAAGTATAAGCCTTGTACGTTTGGGAAGGTGGGTGCGCAGTCAGCGGAGGCTCGCGAAGCGGAGCCAGGCGTAAGTATAAATCCCGCTTAAGCAACAGCAGGTCTAGCAACGATATAATACTGGACACTAGATAAGCCTTAACAAGCAAGCAATCCCAATACCCTGATAGCTTTAAGCAAAGACCTTCTGAAATGCATAGTGGGGGGCAGCATGCCCTTACAGGAGAATAAAAGTAGCGAAGGGGTGCTCTTTTATAACAGCTAAAAAAAAGCATTGATACAACTTTAGAAGCAAATTTACAATCTGCGCATAAAGTTTCAAGCACATTACCGATACACTAGTTAGCTTGAGCAACAGCACATCACTGACTTAAACACAGCGTGTTGGAAGTAGTCAGATAAGTTTAATGAAAGCATCCCCAATGGATGAGCCTGAAGCAGCAAGCCTGTTTCATATCGACAGCCTTGCCAACAGATTAAAACAAGGCTCGCTGGTAAATTTAACTGGTAACGTTACCAGTGTGACAATACGATAGCATGCCTAGCAAACATAACTGAACAACTAGCCTTAGACAATGAGCAATATCTGAAGCATGTTCACCAACATAGCATTAGGCAATAAAATGAAAGAAACTTTGCTTAGCTTCGTGAAGACATTCAGAGATGAATAAAGGTGAAATGGCCAGTTGTTACATGAATGCTTTAACCCTTCTTGAATATCTTGTTTCTTCCAGCGGAGAAGCAGATCTCGTGTAAAGTTGTTGGTGCAATCGTATTAGCACAACTTCGGCAATGAATTGCGGGCAAAGTGTCTATATCAATTGCGAGGAGCCATGCTCGCTCAGATCACTTCAGTCTATCGGCTTGACAAACAACGCGGCGAACTTGAATCTGGTGAGATACTCTGTGGGAATCCTGTCAAAAATCTAGATTAAATGCTTCCTACGGAGATGAAATTCACCGTCTGATTAGTTCCTGAGTGAAGCGATAGCTGCTGAATAATGACTGAAGGGACCTTATGAAGGGAATTATGATTGGTGTCGTGATCCTATAGGTAGATGTGGGTCAGCTGAGTGTCAGCTGATGCGAGCTTGACTAACATGGCCTGCCAGAACTATCGCTGCGCTCCATTTCTAGCTTAAGCTAAGCCCAGTCTGTCAAACCGGGCCATTAAGTTCTCTTGCGAGCTCTTACTCACTTCCTGTTGTATTTCCACTGTCCTATCAAGGAAAAATGCCAAAGGCCGCTTTAAATGACAGGAACAGAATCAAGCAAGGTGTTTTTATAATCATTGGGGGGAAAAAATTATTTTAATTGCTCAGCTGCAGTGGGGCCCCTTGGTGGTTCGAGGGCCATATGCAACTTTCATAATTTGCGCATAGGGAGGACTGGCACTGATGAAATCTCTTTAGTTTCAGATTGAATTTAGCAAATGCTGTGGCCAGTAACTGTTTATTCCCAGTGCAGTCAGTCCTCCAGACTAAGATGATGCAGACACTCACTGCTTTTTGATTAGAGATGTGCAAAACTTCTGCAATATTTTATTAATGTTGATTAAAAAAATTATTGCAAAATGACATCATTTCCATGAATAGCATTTTTTATGAGACTAAAACGTAATTTTTCATCTTGCAATAAGTCATGCTGATGGATGTTGGTAGGTTTACGTACATCACAGCCACTGCACTAGCCATTATTTTTTATTCGAAGTAGGCGTATATGTTTAGCGAAGCAGCACAGTCCATCCAAGCATTACTGGCAAGGACAGCCCCTTATACTTGAGAGCAGCCATGTATGAGGCATTTCTTTTAGGTTATAGTACATTAAAGAATGATCATGTGACTTTTACGTACGCCAGGTGACCTGTAAATGCGAAAAAACTGTTTCCAATGCAGTTTTGTGAAATATTCCTTTTTCAAATTGCCTAATACACTAGTTAGCTTGAGCAACAGCATATCACTGACTTAAACACAGCGTGTTGGAAATAGTTGGATAAGTTTAATAAAAGCATCCCCAAAAGATGAGCCTGAAGCAGCAAGCCTGTTTCATATTGACAGCCTTGACAACAGATTAAAAAAAGACTCGCTGGTAAATTTAACTGGTAATGTTACCAGTGTGACAATACGATAGCATGCCTAGCAAACATAACTGAACAACTAGCCTTAGACAATGAGCAATATCTGAAGCATGTTCACCAACATAGCATTAGGCAATAAAATTAAAGAAACTTTGCTTAGCTTCATGAAGATATTCAGAGATGAATAAAGGTAAAATGGCCAGTTGTTACGTGGATGCTTTAACCCTTCTTGAATATCTTGTTTCTTCCAGCGGAGAAGCAGATCTCGTGTAAAGTTGTTGGTGCAATCGTATTAGCACAACTTCGGCAATGAATTGCGGGCAAAGTGTCTATATCAATTGCGAGGAGCCGTGCTCGCTCAGATCACTTCAGTCTATCGGCTTGACAAACAACGCGGCGAACTTGAATCTGGTGAGATACTCTGTGGGAATCCTGTCAAAAATCTAGATTAAATGCTTCCTACGGAGATGAAATTCACCGTCTGATTAGTTCCTGAGTGAAGCGATAGCTGCTGAATAATGACTGAAGGGACCTTATGAAGGGAATTATGATTGGTGTCGTGATCCTATAGGTAGATGTGGGTCAGCTGAGTGTCAGCTGATGCGAGCTTGACTAACATGGCCTGCCAGAACTATCGCTGCGCTCCATTTCTAGCTTAAGCTAAGCCCAGTCTGTCAAACCGGGCCATTAAGTTCTCTTGCGAGCTCTTACTCACTTCCTGTTGTATTTCCACTGTCCTATCAAGGAAAAATGCCAAAGGCCGCTTTAAATGACAGGAACAGAATCAAGCAAGGTGTTTTTATAATCATTGGGGGGAAAAAATTATTTTAATTGCTCAGCTGCAGTGGGGCCCCTTGGTGGTTCGAGGGCCATATGCAACTTTCATAATTTGCGCATAGGGAGGACTGGCACTGATGAAATCTCTTTAGTTTCAGATTGAATTTAGCAAATGCTGTGGCCAGTAACTGTTTATTCCCAGTGCAGTCAGTCCTCCAGACTAAGATGATGCAGACACTCACTGCTTTTTGATTAGAGATGTGCAAAACTTCTGCAATATTTTATTAATGTTGATTAAAAAAATTATTGCAAAATGACATCATTTCCATGAATAGCATTTTTTATGAGACTAAAACGTAATTTTTCATCTTGCAATAAGTCATGCTGATGGATGTTGGTAGGTTTACGTACATCACAGCCACTGCACTAGCCATTATTTTTTATTCGAAGTAGGCGTATATGTTTAGCGAAGCAGCACAGTCCATCCAAGCATTACTGGCAAGGACAGCCCCTTATACTTGAGAGCAGCCATGTATGAGGCATTTCTTTTAGGTTATAGTACATTAAAGAATGATCATGTGACTTTTACGTACGCCAGGTGACCTGTAAATGCGAAAAAACTGTTTCCAATGCAGTTTTGTGAAATATTCCTTTTTCAAATTGCCTAAAAAACACCTCATGCAAGCGTAAAATGTTTTTGTGATATAGGGGAACTGCGAAATTGACATGTTTACATTGGGTGCATTTTCAAGTCACAATTTCAGTTTGCGCGATTTGAAGGGTAATGGAAACGCAGACAGTGGTCAGTGTGACTAGTAAGCCAACTAGAGCTTATTTGTTGATCCTGCAACATTTATAAGGTGAAAGAAAGCCATGATTATTATTATTAACAATTTGTGAATGCAACAACCAGATACGTAATTGTCGAAAACAATGTAATGGTACATCCCTCCATCAAGATCTAGATGAGTGGAGGTCCTAAAGAAAGCAAAGGATTAACAATATCGACAAGAAGTTCTGAGATTACAGGTTACAACTCTTTCAGAAGTTTAGTAGGTATAGGATCTAGCTTGTATTTGATGCTTTTCATGTCTAAATGTTTTGATGTTTGTTGCTTCATGCCTTTAAACTGGTTTTAACTTGTATTTGTCTCTTTTCACCTCAGACCCGATGGCGCTGAAACAGGAGAGTCAAGAACAGAATGAAAAGGAAGAGAAAGATCAAAACGAGAAACATCACGATTTCAAAACTGAAGAAAAAACGATTAGTTGCTCACCGAATGAAAAGACTTCCTCACCAAAAAAAGCTGAAAAAACACAAAACCTTAATTCCCACATGATCATTCACACTGGAGAGAAGCCATTCACCTGCCAACAGTGTGGAGAGATTTTCAATCAAAAAGAAAGCCTTAAAGTCCACATGAAAATTCACATTGAAAAGAAACCGTTAATATGCCCTCGGTGTGGAAAATGTTTTAAATGGAAAAAAAACCTTGGGACACACATGAGAATTCATACCGAAGACAGACCTTACACCTGTGAACAGTGTGGAAAGAGTTTCAGGCTCAAAGAAAGCCTAAAGACTCACATAAGAAGTCACACTGGAGAGAGACCTTACATCTGCAAACTGTGTGGGAAGAGTTTCACACAAAATGGACATCTTACGACTCACATGAGAGTTCACACTAAAAAGAAGCCATTTATATGCTCTCAGTGTGGAAAGTGTTTTACACAGAAAAGAACCCTCGATGCCCACATGAGAGTTCACACTGGAGAGAAGCCATTCACCTGCCAACAGTGTGGAAAGAGTTTCAGGCTCAAAGAAAGCCTAAAGACTCACATAAGAAGTCACTCTGGAGAGAAGCCATTCACATGTGATCAGTGTGGAAAGAGTTTCAGATATAAAGAAAACCTTAATAAGCACATGAAAATTCATTCAGCAGAGAACGGTTTTAAATGTCATCAGTGTGAAAGGAGTTTCACAGACACAAATCACCTTCAGGATCATGTTAAAATTCACATCGGAGAAAAGCCTCTCATGTGCCATCACTGTGGAAAGAGTTGCTCAAGAGAAGATAACCTCAAAGTTCACTTGAGAATTCACACTGGAGAGAAACCTTTCACCTGCGAACAGTGTGGAAAGAGTTTCAGGGTTAAAGAATACCTTCAGATTCACAAGGTAGTTCACACTGGAGAGAAGCCTTACAAGTGTCCTCAGTGTGAGAAGAGATTCACATGTCAAGGCAGCATGAAACGTCATTTGAAAGCTCATTCTGGGAAGAAACTGCCATTTTCTTCAGTGTGACAAGAGGTTTAGAAAAAGGAGCAATTACTACAATCATCTGCTCGATCATTTTGGAAGACATTATTTTCGTTTCTGCATATACATTCCTGTGGCCATTCCTGACCGTCTGCTTTGCTGTAGTTTCAAATATTGAACGGTTGTTGAGATTCCCTCAAATGTTGACTGTGTACTCGACAGGCAGCCCGCGGGCCGTATCCGGCCCAACTGCATTAATGTTGTGGCCCGCGTCATGCTGAAGATGAATGTATTTTTATTCAAATTTACACTCAAAAGTAGCACAAATATTAAGCAGAGTGACTGTATGCTTGTGTCGCTTAAATGCAGTTGATACTCCTGACACTTTGCATTGTGTAAATGGCAGAAAGTCCTCTTAGTAGCAACAAACAATAAACAAACTTTTATTCAAATTGTGAATGGGATAAAACAAGCAAAAAGCGCTCCCATTACAATGAATAGAGCTGTAATCACGTCTATTCTTTCACGTAGTTCCCTATCTGTCGGTCACTACGAGTTATGTCGAACAACATATGGGGTCTCACTTGGGAAAGTTTAAAGTCCCCCTGTGGTGGAAATAAAGTTTTTTATGTTTATTTGTCTATGGGTTGTTTTTAATATGCTTTTAGACAAACCATGTGCCAATCCATTTATCAACACCATTGCTGAGTATTTTCTCCTTAAAACTGTATAGTTTCCCAAAGGCAGTCACAGAAACGCGGTTTGAAACCGCCTTTGTTTTGCTACGTCACAAAACTCAATAACAGTTTGGCTGTTGTGTGACTGAGTGGAGGTGGGGCCAATTTGCGTATTCATAGATCCGCGTATAGTAAATGAGGCAAGGGTGTAGAGTTGCATTCAAGCTATTTTAAGGCATGAGAAAATTATTTTCACAAAAACATTTTTTTAAATGTAATTTTTATGATCAAAGATGAGATTTAAAGGATAACATTTTTGACTACAGGGGGACTTTAAAAGAAAACGCTAATGAAAATTGGCTAGTGGATTTTGCATACCTGAGCAACTATAAATAGGCGACAGGTGCATCCACTCTTCAGATTTTTGCTTCGAAGCCGAGTAGTTAATGTTATATATTCACTACAAAGCCATTCATATTTGTGTTCGGAGAGCTGTTCCTGGTTGGTGTAACGGCGCGTTACAGCGGTGTCTGTCATCAGCGATTCCCCTGGGCGCTTAAGCTAAAAGAGCAATTTCCTCTAAAAAAAGCAAATCACGGACGATTCGCGTCTTTTTCAAGATGCTGTTTCGTCCGTGTCCTTCTGGATGCAGTCGTTTCCTGTCCTCTGTCATGGATGATTCATGCGTCTATTGTGGGCATATGAACATGGCAGCGCTGTGATCGCGTCTCTCCCTCCTCAAGGGGAGTGCAGCAGACCCCTCTGTCACTACCCGTCCCGGTTTCTCTGCTGCAAGCAGAGGACAGCCGGCTAGTGCTCTGGGAGATCTGAGGGTGACTGTGAGAGCTTCTCCGCCGGGCCACGCCCCACGGACCTCTCACTCCTCCCGCAGCGCCTGTTCCGTGCGGCTGCCGGATGATTCTGCTGGGTCGTTTCACTGCGGTCCCAGCGTGTCATTTGGTATGGATCAGATGTCGATTGCAGCATCGGGGGATGGGCTTTCGGCCTCTGAGGATGAAGATTCGGCGGGGCTGCCCCCCTCGTGAGTACTCCGCCCAGCCCTGAGTGCTCGCGGCTGGATGATTAGTTTCTCGGAGCGGAGCGCGGCTCACAACCGCATTCTGCTCCGGTTCCTTTCTTCCAGGAGGTGCATGAAGAGGTGACGAAGTTGTGGACGGCCCCTTTTACGGCCAGAAGCCGCTCGTCTCCCTCTTCCATCCTCACTACCCTCGATGGCGGGGCGGCCAGGGGGTACGTGGACATTCCCCAGGTGGAGAGAGTGGTTGCGGTGCACCTGTGCCCTCAAAACGCCACCACTTGGAGGAATTGTCCGCGTCTCCCGTCCAAGGCCTGTAAGCTGCCGGCGGCTCACGCTGCCAAAGCTTACAGTGCCACGGGCCAGGCTGCCTCTGCCCTGCATGCCATGGCTATCCTGCAGGTACACCAAGCCAAGGCGTTAATACAAATGCACGAGGGTAGTACCGACCCGAGGTTGATGCAGGAGCTGCGCACGGCGACTGACTTTGCCCTCCGGGCGACGAAAGTCACGGCGCGGTCCCTCGGGAAGGCGATGTCCGCTCTGGTGGTCCAGGAGCACCATCTCTGGCTCAACCTGGCAGAGATGAGAGACGTTGACAAGGTTCGCTTTCTCGATGCTCCCATCTCCCAGGCTGGCCTGTTCGGTGACACTGTCGAGGACTTTGCCCAGCAGTTCTCAGCAGTACAAAAGCAGACTGAGGCCATTCAACACATCTTGCCCCGACGTGATCCTCCAGCTGCCACGTTCCGTCGCGGGCCGTGTCTCAGCCTGCTCGTCGCCGTGGGCGCCCTCCTGCGTCCTCCACTCCGGCTCTGCCCCTCGCTGAGACTACATCAAGGCCGGCGCGTCGAGCCCCACACAGGAGAGCAACGCCCCCCGTGTCGCATCCGGCTGCTAAGTTCTCTAAGAAGACGATGAAGCGGCCCTGACATGGGCAACCCGGAGATGTGGGAGACTGCTCTTCAGGAGGTGGCGGAGACGGTGCCGCTCCTTCCCCCAGAGGAGGGCCGAGCGGAGAATCTTCTTTTTCCTTTTCTTTTTGTTCCGCCGCTGGCTCAACGGCCAATGGTAACCACATTCTCAAAAAAAAAAGAGCAGTTTCCTTTTCCTCCGGGTTGCAAGGCTCGTTGGTCGACAATGAGCGACGCACTGCTTCCTCACTCTCGACGCCCCCTATTGCCAGTGGCCAAGAGGTCGCGGTTTGGAGACGCAACGCCGCTCCACGCGTCTCTGGCCAGTCCCTCTGGGGACACGGGGAGTTTTGCTGTGATGACTCAGAACGCGACGCCTTCTGGGCCACCCAGTTCAACTCCCCATCACTGCACCACTGGGCATCAGGATCCTCAACTATCTCAAAGACTGGCTCGCTGTTGCCGGGACACGTTCTCGGCTCCTCAGCGTAAAACCTGAAGAGTGGATGCACCTGTCGCCTATTTATACGCGTATGCACGGGGAGTGGCTCAGGTATGCAAATTCCACTAGCCGATTTTCATTGGCATTTTCTCTTAAACTCAGAGATGATTGGCCTCCCAAGTGAGACCCTATATGTCGTTCAACATAACGTCTCCGTTCCCTCCATCAGGCATTTCTTAAAAGCTGAAGAATTCCAAAGGAACTCCGATATTTTGACAGGAAAATAAAACAAAGAATATCGTTAACATGTATCACATCAATTCTGCATGTTATGTAAGACTCTCTCGCTCTCGCTCTCTCTCTCTCACTTTGCGCGTGTGAGAGAAATTGGCTAATATTAGACATAATTTAGTCGCCCAGAGTGAAGATTAAGTCGCATATGAGAGTGATTTACTCGCAGTGTAGAGGGTTGATTCATATATATGTTTAAGTATATACTATAAAATTTAAATACATTTCTTTTGAATGTATAGCATATTTTTTAATAAGGCAACAACATATGATCTTCTTGATATGATCATCTTGATCTGCCACACCTGTGAGGTGGATGGATTATCTCGGCAAAGGAGAAGTGCTCACTAACACAGATTTAGACAGATTTGTGAACAATATTTGAGAGAAATAGGCCTTTTGTGTACATAGAAGAAGTCTTAGATCTTTGAGTTCAGCTCATGAAAAATGGGGGCAAAAACAAAAGTGTTGCGTTTATAATTTTGTTCAGTGTATTTGAAAATCTGGAATCTGAGGGTGCAAAAAAATCGAAATATTGAGTAAATCGCCTTTCAAGTTGTCCAAATGAAGTATTTGAGTCCATCTGTGTTTGATTATACTGATTGGACTTGATTTGGAAAGCCACACACCTGTCTATATAAGACCTTACAGCTCACAGTGCATGTCAGAGCAAATGAGAATCATGAGGTCAAAGGAACTGCCTGAAGAGCTCAGAGACAGAATTGTGGCAAGGCACAGATCTGGCCAAGGTTACAAAAAAATTTCTGCTGCACTTAAGGTTCCCAAGAGCACAGTGGCCTCCATTCCTTAAATGGAAGACGTTTGGGATGACCAGAACCCTTCCTAGAGCTGGCCGTCTGGCCAAACTGAGCTATCGGGGGAGAAGAGCCTTGGTGAGAGAGGTAAAGAAGAACCCAAAGATCACTGTGGCTGAGCTCCAGAGATGCAGTCGGGAGATGGGAGAAAGTTGTAGAAAGTCAACCATCACTGCAGCCCTCCACCAGTCGGGGCTTTATGGCAGAGTGGCCCGACGGAAGCCTCTCCTCAGTGTGAGACACATGAAAGCCCGCATGGAGTTGTGAGATGGTGAGAAATAAGATTCTCTGGTCTGATGAGACTAAGATAGAACTTTTTGGCCTTAATTCTAAGCGGTATGTGTGGAGAAAACCAGGCACTGCTCATCACCTGTCCAATACAGTCCCAACAGTGAAGCATGGTGGTGGCAGCATCATGCTGTGGGGGTGTTTTTCAGCTGCAGGGACAGGACGACTGGTTGCAATCGAGGGAAAGATGAATGCGGCCAAGTACAGGGATATCCTGGACGAAAAATGGCTGTCCACCAACGTTTACCATCCAACCTGACAGAACTGGAGAGGATCTGCAAGGAGGAATGGCAGAGGATCCCCAAATCCAGGTGTGAAAAACTTGTTGCATCTTTCCCAAAAAGACTCATGGCTGTATTAGATCAAAAGGGTGCTTCTACTAAATACTGAGCAAAGGGTCTGAATACTTAGGACCATGTGATATTTCAGTTTTTCTTTTTTTTTTTATAAATCTGCAAAAATGTCAACAATTCTGTGTTTTTCTGTCAATATGGGGTGCTGTGTGTACATTAATGAGGAAAAAAAATTAACTTAAATGATTTTAGCAAATGGCTGCAATATAACAAAGAATGAAAAATTTAAGGGGGTCTGTCAGAATTAAATACAAATCATGTACCTTTTTTCTCTGTTGTGTATATATTCGTTGTGTTCGTCGCAACGAAAAGATTTCGCATTCACATCTGCCAACTGTCGTCAAACAAAACGGAACTCTATAATGAAAGTACACGGATATTTTTGTTGTTGTTGTTATTTCTAGGTGTTGTATTTCATGTCATATTTTTTAATAATCTTTGTGCACTTACCTCTAATAAACCACTTTGTCGCTGCCTTTATGCCTCCGTTGTCTCTGTCTGTTTAGCGCGTTAAGTCTGTTGCCGCGCTTTGATCTGATCGGCGGTTGGCAGCCAGCTTGAAGTTGCATTACATAGTGTTGGGGTCTCATTACAAGTAACGCGAGTTACGTAATCCGATTACTTTTTTCAAGTAACTAGTAAAGTAACGCATTACTTTTTCATTGTTCAAAAAAGTAATGCCAGTTACTTTGTTTTCCCATGTATTGACTGACGGCTCTCCTGTCCCCATATTGGGAGAAATCGGGGCGTTGTGTGAACATGATGCTACTGTAGCTCTAGACTAAATGTGAATGTGCATTAATTCATCCCACTCACAAAAAACAGATTTAGTATTCATCAAAATGAATTAAAGTGAAATGTAAACTCAGAATATGACACAAACCTGCAATAATTAAAATGTTAAATAACACAAATGTATCTAATCCCATTTTATTAACCGATGTCTTTGCTGCTGACCTTTGATGATCCAGTTCAACCATACTAATAAGCAAACATGACTTTAGAGAAACTAACAATTGTGCTTCATTGTTTTTTTTATTGCTGAAGAGTGTTTCTTGTTCTACGGCACAGATGTGAATTTACTTTTGCTTCAGCCTGAGGTTTATTCATTACACTTTTTGGTGTGAAAGGGCTTTTATATTAGCTATAAATAGAACTTCTTATATTAAAAACAATCAAGCCCTGTTCATATTTAAAAAGTAACGCAAAAGTAATATAACGCATTACTTTCCATAAAAAGTAACTAAGTAACGTAATTAGTTAATATTTTAGGGAGTAACGCAGTATTGTAATGCATTACTTTTAAAAGTAACTTTCCCCAACACTGGTGCTCAATACATTTCACAAAAATGTACCCAATTGATTTAGATTGGCATTAAAGAGTTACACTCCAGTGTGGAAATCAAGCTAACCAGAAATCAACATTGATTCAGTGTTTGTCTTTTCAACATCGATCCAATATTATTTAGTATTGAATTTTCAACCTCAACCGAAATGACGATTCTGATGGAATTTCAACATTGAATCAATGTGACCGTGCTACCCCGTTTTAAACTTATTTCTTTGGAGACCGGAACATGAGAGCACCCAGACGGAAGTTAGAATCCATCATGGCGCCGCTCATCGGTTACTCGGGAAAAGGTGGATATTCTGGGGAGAAACTGAGAAGAAATAAAATGAATACATTGACATAAGAATTCAGTTTCAGTTAATAAATTAAATAGTTAAATATTTTTTGCGCGCTCTGCAATTCATCCTTTATGATTAATCGTGTACCGTATTATATTTATTTTCTAATGTAAAATTATATGATTTTAGCGAAAAAGACTTTTATTTTGGTATGTCGATGTGACGTCATAAGGCCGCGCCGCGCTCCAGCGTCTGTGAGTCGGCTGAAGAAAAGGCGAGTGCTTTTAACAGTGTTTCAATCAACCAAACTCGTTTAGAGATTTGTGTATCAAACGGAAATTAATTATGAACCAGTGTTGCATTGTAATGTTTTATCTACTTCTAGTAGTGATGGAGAAACGGAGCGTTTTGAAACTCTGAATCAACTGCTTCTAAAAACCAACTGCAAATGTTTTAATGAAAGTGGAATCTAATAAATATAACCTAGGAATAAGTAAATATTACCTTAATCTTAATACAAATGTGAACCGTGTATATAACTTGTGTCCTTTAATTACTTTTGAATGCTAGGCTGTATTTTATATCGGACAATTTAAGACCATTAACTCTCTCTCTGACTGACTCCCTCACTAGTGTGCTGACTACAGAACTACTGTGCTGACTACAGAACTACTGTGCTGACTACTGAAACTAGTGCGCTGACTACTGAACTACTGCGCTGACTACAGAACTACTGCGCTGGCTACTGAACTAGTGCGCTGACTACTGAAACTAGTGCGCTGACTACTGAACTACTGCGCTGACTACTGAACTAGTGCGCTGACTAC